TTGTGTTTATGTTAAGGCAATACCTCATTCAACCTTTGATTTAGTGATGTTAAAGAAACTTTTACACTCACATTGCAGTACACACTAGGCCCCGTCTCATGGCACTTTAGAAGCCACACTGATGATCAAAAAATAGAAGACCCTGGTAGTGTGGTCAACCTTACGTGGGATGGGTGGGTAAATAACAAAAAAACAAGGGCAAATCCCAATCCCGACGCAAATCGTATCCTGTCGTTATGTTCATTTATCATTCATCATGCCATCATCGCAAAGGCAGCGAAAACGTCACTATTCAGAAAATGATTTCGAGTTTTTCATATCTTCGTCGCGATTATTCCAAGCTTAACGAAGCAGACGAAGCGCCATTTATAGAGGTAACATTATTATTAATTGCGGGAGAAGCTAAAATCTAAATTGACAATTTTTAAACACGAAGTAATAGTACCCTTTGAAGTAGATCACGCCTCTATAGGACGAGATATAGTGCATCAGTCATGATACGGTATCTTCATGCCAGGCTGCGTAGTCTGTTCCCTTAACTATTTACTGACTTTACTGGAATGAGTTCTACGGCAACCTTAAAGTTAAAACGGGCAACAATAGCCGGCAACTTACTTTGCAACATCGCTGCCAAACGAGTGGAAAAGCGATGTTGCGCATTTTACCACCCACGAATCAAACCTGTCTTGCAACAAATCAGGTTGTTGCAAGTTGAGTTAACACTGACTTTTGATTGGATAAAATTTCGCGGGAGTCACCCCATACACCGGAGAGTTACGTCACTAGTTGCAAAACAAGTTTGCCTTGGGCCGTTAAAACGTGCAACATGTACAGATTTTGTTACAAAAAGTAGAACTAGTCTCTACTTTCTACAACAACTTTCCATAACCTTTCACGACGGGTTTGATGCGTGGGTGGTAAAACGTGCAACACCGCTATTAAACTCGTTTTGCAGCAATATTGCAAAACAAGTTACCTGTTTTTTCTGCTCGTTTTACCGTACGTTTAGAGGCGGATTTATCGAAGTACTCCCATTACTGCGAAGCAAAATCTCGCAAGCTAAGCAGGCTACCAAGTTCTGTACGTCATCGTGGTTGGTGCTAGCATGTCAACAGACGTTGTTCTTTCTTTATTCCTAACAATTCGACAGCGCACGGTCGATAAATCCACAGGGGATTGTATTTCATTTTCATACACGAGCTCGACGATCTCTGAGAAAAAAGAGGGTCTGTGAACAAGTTAGGTTACTGCAAAAGTTATGGTCAGTCTTGCTCTTAACTGAGTTCGGATTTGTTGAAAACCAAAGGTGGTTGTACAGTGGTAAAAAGTAGTTCGAAGACAGATACGACCAACACTTGAGGCAAGACACAGGAAAAATCTAGCAACTTTTCATTTTTTGCAGTTAATTGTGTTTATATATACTTGACATTTACTGTCCTACACGATGATTTATACTACATCCGGTTTGTTCTCTTTTCAAATTTTTATAATAATAATTCGACTTTAGACAATAATATTTAAAATATCTATAAAAAATAACTCAGTTCGGAAGGCGCTGTCTTATGGCGCGGATAAAAATTGTTTTAAACGAGTGTTTCATTGGTTGACAGTTATCTATCCCCGGATGTAAATAGTATCTGGTATGGATATAGCCCCGGGTAGGGTACTTCCTAGTAATAGGCTAATGATGATGTGCCGCTGCATGGGGTCGCAAATTTTCGAGAGTTTGAGGTTAAAAAAAAAAAAATTGTGTCTAGGAATTTGACACACACAAAAAAAAGGGAATTCATGTCAGGATGATCGTCTTACTAGGTTTTATAAGGTAGATGCATAAACAGAAAGTGGTAAAGTTAATTACATTCGACCAATAGTGACAAAAAAAAGGGGACCGGGACCATAATTAGCCACACGATAGACTATAAAAGGGCAGAGGTTCTGAAAGGACAGCGGCACATATCCAGCAAAAATTGACCTAAGTAGCTCCCCCTCCCCCCGAGGACTATAGTTTTAACTAGTACAGTTCACATTCCATTAACTGTCCTCCTCTCTCTGTCCTCGGGCAAAGTTCAGAAATACTTGCTCTAAGGTTGTCTGACTAACAGAGTAATCTTCAATATTGAAGTTCAGTTTGACTCTCTCAATTGCCCCAAACAGCTGAGCCCACGTTATGCTGGTATCGCGGATATGATAGTGGACCATGCCTTGATGCTCGTCTTTCAACACACTTCCAGGGAATGAGCTCTCTATAAACTGCTTCAGTGGTGCAGTGTCGGGTGTGTTGCTTGATACTCGAGCTAGAAGCGTGTATCCCTCGCCAAACTTGTGTTTAAGATGCTGCGGGCTTCCCAAACATTTTAAACGCCCATTAACCATGATCGCTAGCCGAGTGCATAGAGCTTCACATTCCTCCATACTAAGAATAATAAAGGAGAAACGATTGTAAGCTTTACAACTAAACATAAGGAAGAAATGAAGGGAACCGAAAAAACACAATGCAAAGGTTGCCAGTGTCTTCAACCTTTCTTTGCTTTGCTTCAAATGCTTACAAGCACTGAATTGATTTTTCAATCCTCGACGCTTTCTGCAAACATCCCCAAATAACTGGCATAACTTTTTTTCATCAGTTTAACCTTTAAAAAACCAAGACTATGAAAGCATTCTTTCCAAGCATCCTACTTTTCTCTACAGCATGGGCCATACTCACCTATGTGACGTAATCACTATGCAACGTCCATCAGCCCGAACACGTGACAGTGCATCCCATAATAGTCTTCTCGCTACCGGGTCCATGCCAGTTGTAGGCTCATCCAAAAACACCACAGGGGGGTCCCCTACTAACGATATGGCAGTACTCAACTTCCGCTTGTTTCCACCACTAGAAAGGAGAGGTTTAAAAAATACCACTCAGTGACCTAGCCTGTGCCCAGGGCACTCAGATAGTAGGGACATCGCGAAGATAAACAAGAAAGGGGAAAATAACACGCGCGCGACCTGAGAAAGGGAAAGGTCTCTCCCTCCAAGCCCCGCGCGTTTTTCATATCACTTTTACTGCACGACTGCACTGCAATACCATCTTGGAACCTGCGACATGCTACCTTAACCCTGACTTGATTCGTGTCCCTCAGATAGGCATTTACAAGCTGAACTGAAGTATTACTAACCCCGATTTTTTGTCTTCGTTGAATAAGGGCACCTGATTGACTCCTTAATTGTGCGATCCCCGTGTTTCTCGATTGTTTGAAGTAAGATAATTTCTACCTCATTAACGAGCATTTGTGGGTGATGAGTACGAGCTCTGCTTTGACGACAACAAAGGCGATGTTTGCCGCGTTTTAATAAGCATAAGACTAGAAAGGGGCAAAGGAAAACGGGTTTTACGCGAATGGTACTCACAGCCACCAAATTCAAACACATACCAATAGATATGTCATCTAGTTCACAGAGCAGTTAGGCTTGGGAAGATTCGCACGCAAGTTTTCCAGTAGTGTAAGAATGAACAAAGCGGACACGAGCTGCAAGTATCCTAAGATGACGTTAAAGGAAAACTCGGACAATTGTAAGCCAAGAAATAGGCCATTGCATGAAAAAACAATCAGGATTTCGCACAATTTGATTGGTTGAGATAATTCGCACCACTTACACATCAGCCAATCAGAAGTATAATCCCAACCTCGTTTTCCCGCGCTTTGCGGCGGCTACATTTTTCTGTTGCAAGCTCTGATTGGTTTATCTCTTCATATGCAGGACTTTTCTTCGCTGTGATTGGTCGGTTTTAATTTCAAAATTAAGAATCGATTTGTTGCAATTTGACGAAACGGCAAACTTATAACCTGTTTACAAGAGTCCAGACAAATTCTTGAACGGACAAAAACTTGCACGGATCTACCTTGTATTTGCATGGAACCCGCAGAACTGTGCAAGGTTTTCAACCGCAAACATTACTGCAATCTGCAGGAGAATTTGCACGGTTCCGTGTAAATGGGTTGCACAGGTGAAAATTGGTGGTGTAAACTGGGTCTCGGGCTCGCATAGCCTTTTCCAGGCGCTTGGATAGTTCGGAGCGGCGCAAAGTAGCTATCGTCGCGCCGCTCCTAACTGTCTAAACGCCTGCAACAGGCTAAGGCTCCCACAGTTAAGTTCCGAAAAAGGCAAGGGTATCCTAAGGTTTCACTGCGTATTAATGGTGAAATCAGAAACTGTACCTGTAAGAACTTGTTAACTTATCCGCATGATCTTGAAGAAGCAATGCTTGAATAAGCTCCTCAACAACATCCGCTATCAAGACTTCCGGTACGCCTCGTAGCCGAGCATACATAACGAGCAACTCTCTTCCGGTCAGCTGATCTATTAAAGCGTCAAACTGAGGACAATAGCCAATGCGCTGGCGAACCTAGAAGCAACACATGCGTAATGTTAAAGTTTGCCAAAAAGTTCTTTTTCAAGAAAAATATGAACAACAACTCTGATGAAAGAGGCTCTGAATGTTGGTATTTGTGGAGGGCAGAGAACTGGACAAAAAACCTTTTTAGCAAGGCGAATCCTGTTCTATGATCTGATATATGGTTTGTTTGATTTAAAAGATGTTACACTAGACGATTAGCAACGGCGATTTTAGGACAACAATTTTCGAACAATGTTCTAACAATTCCAAGCAATGTCGCAACAATGTTGCAACGCTGAAAATCGTCGAGCAATTAGGATTGTCCCATGTTACATTTCCTTTAGTTAGAGTGCAGTTACGTCGAATGTACTGAAAATACTAAGAAACCCTCTAGAGGCTAGAATCAATGAACGCACCCTGTTCATGTCCTCTCGGATGTCAAACCCGTCCACCACAACAGTCCCGGATGTCATGGTCTCATCTCCAGTTAACATGCGAAACGTTGTTGTTTTTCCGGCTCCATTGATACCAAGAAGGCCAAAACATTCACTCATGGGAACCCCGAGGCACAGACTATCCACCGCTATCAATGGCAAACGACCTGGGGAAAAAACATGGCTTATTTACTTTTTATCTTCATTCTATTTAATTAATTATATCCACGATCATAGAGATCACCTAAGATGGTTTCCAAACAAGCCGTACCCGACCATTAAATAAAACCAATGCTACAACCAACATAATCATACTCGTGATGAACTAAACGGACTCTCGCTACGCGGTCGTCCGATTTTGTTTATCACTCGTATGATGACAGACCGAACTCAGCGTGCAAAGAAAGTAGTGTCCGATAGCCCGGGGCTAGTGGATTTTGCTATCGGGCTAGTGATTTTTGTTCTTAACTTGCCCAATGGGCAAGTGCTGTCTTTTGGGGAAATTCAAATTACAAAGGATTGTAATCAATCCTGCTAATCAAAAAGGGTTTTGGGGCTAATTGAAATGACTTGTGGGCTAGTATATGCTAGCTACAGCTTGCCCAAATAGCAGGCTGTAAAACTGACTTTCTTTGCGCCCTGGAACTGGACTCCACTCAGTCCTATTACCATTATATAGTACTAAGTAATCAAGTAGCCTACGATTCATTGGGTATTGAGGAAAGGTTCTCCATAAACTGAAGCTCTTCATAATATACGGTCTTTCCAGCTTTTATACTGGACAAAGCTGCACGTAAAAGTCTACTGTAACAATTTTATTCATTCTTACATGTAAAGGATCGATTTCCTCATTTCATTGTCTGGCAGATATTAAGTTAAGTAGACTCAGAATTCAAAACCCTTTGTGTTCATCGTTCACTACTCGAGGATAATAGTAATAATAAATAATAAACTTTATTTTTATAGCGTCTATATCATTAACTGTTCTAGGCGCTTTACAAAAATGTATTAAAACTCTAAAAAATCTAACAAGTACATATAAGTATGAAAATTAAATAGAAATCTAATTATAAATTAAGAAAAAGCTTGGTGAAATAAATATGTCTTTAAGTGTTTTGTGAAAGAATTCTTGGGACTAGATCATCGCAGGCATAAATCAATACGTCAGTTTTGTCGATTTTCCTGTTACTGAATCATGCCTAGACAGGAAGTACTTACGATACAAAAACCCGCGAATAGGCCATTTGCATTAAGAGGCATGTGACATCGTTTTTATGAAAATGAAAGTTATATGATTTTGCCTACGAAAAACGATTAGTGGGTCATACCTTAAACAAAATAATAGTCATTTGGTTTTTCAAATCCGCACCATTTTCTTAAAATGAATAAGTTCGTAAATGGTCACGTGACCAAAATGTGATTTTTAAAATTATGAATTACCTCTCTCTGAACCCAAATTTTGCACTTAATCTTCAAGGAAAATGTTGAAAAGATGATGTGATAACGTTTACAGCACATCTGAGCATACCTATGAAACGTTGAACAAGATATAAGCAAGACGTAGTTTTGTCCGCCATGTTGGAGGGCAAAAGCATGCCCTCCAACATGGCGGCCAAAACAAATCATACTACTTTGCTGAAAAATCAAAGTGCCATAAGATATCTCCCTTAAATGCGTTTCCTCCCAAATTTCGGGTGTAAGATAATTTTTGTGCGCTCTAACAATTTTTGGCATCAGCAAGATTCCAACTCATTGTTTAAAGGAAGCATTGGTCACGTGACCTCTTAGTGCAACTGGCCTATTGTTAGCCTGCGTAGCAGGTGCTTGGAAGTAGTGGGCACACGAAAAAACGGGTGTACGAAAAGAAGACACGCGAGGGGAGAGGTAGCTCCCTAACCCCTCGCGTGTCTCCCTCGCGCGCGCCCGTTCTCTCTTTCGCCCACTACTTCCAAGCGCCTGCTACACAGGCTAGCGAATTGTACTCACGTCCATTTCCTGAGAAGACCTTAGTTAACTCCTTGATAGCAAGCACGTCGTCCATGTTCTCTGACGACATCACCCTTCTTTTTTCCTCTAAAACATCGTCATCATCGGCCACTGAAGACTCTTCGCTCCGCAGCCCAACCGTGGAAAAACTACGCCTGAAGATTCCCGTAAATCGGTTGAAAACCCCATACTCAATTAATAGAACAAGGGAGTAGAAAACGAGCCCTTCTAAGGCCAGGAATACCAGGTAGCGTCCAATACCAGGGTTGTCCCAAGACAGGTAGTTCTCTTGAAACTCCAACTGACTGCCGCCATATTTTCGAATGAGCTTTTCGCACTTAGCTTTAGTAGGGTGAAAGAAGGGCACTTTGGTATGAAGACACATATCAAGAGCCTTGTTAAAGAAATCCAGGGCATTGTAGTTATTAAATATATCAGTTAGGCCTTGACCCAGGCAGTAGTTTGGCAGAACAAGGAAGGCCCATTTCAGAGCGTTTGCTACGTCCAGGAGATCAAGTTCTAGGGTTAAATAAATAAAGAACAACAACAACAATATGTTAAAGGAGGTGAGGTTTTAATGTTGCATTTCCTTTGGCTTGGCTTTAAATTTAAGTCTAATAAAAACATGACAACAACACATATGGCGTAAAGGGGGGAACACCGCTCCGCGATCGGCGTGGCGGACGACAGCCGTAGCGTGACCATAACGCCTTACTTATCTCCCCGGCGCTATTTTACACATCCGCGGCGGATCAGACAAGTTCAGGTAGGTCCAAAGGAAATAAACTTTAACATGGTCTAACACTCCCCGGCACTACGAGCTAAAACCTCCAAACATCATATCAATTTCCACCGTTTCGGTCTCAAGTTTTTCCTAAGTCTTAAGGCTCTCATTGACAAGGAAGATTTTTAAAAAAGACAAGTTACCTGGAATGCTTAGAATGAATACAGTCAGTAGACAAGCCAGGCCAGTAATAACGTTGAACATAGTTAGAACCACGAAGGCAGTGGAGGCGGTGCGGAAAACAAAGGAGAAGAGATACATGAGAGGAATGATGGCCCAGCCATACAACATCAGTAACACGAACAAGTAACCTAAGCGAGGACCTAAAAGAAAAGAAAAAACTCTGATTCAAATTACAAACTGACGTACTGTATGGTTGATTAGAGTAAAAAAAACACTTTATTTGAGTGTCAAAGTATATGTTTTAAGAGCCCTGAGTATTGGTCCAGTCCCTGGGAATCGAACCCGCGACCTCCCACTCTATAGTCAAGAGCTCTACCGACTGTGCTAAACCTGCCGCAGTTTGAAAATGGAAAAGAAGCACAAAAATAGCATAAATTCGTGCCTATTGACTTCGCCCCCCACCCTGCAGAAAGAATGGTAAATGCAGACGTATTTCGCGTTAGCGAACACTTAGGCATAGTCCCAGTAGTTTGAGTTCCCAGCTCCAGTTCAAACCAGTTTTCCATGATAACATGCCATATCCATTTCGAAGTTCACGTCTCAGCACAGAAAATACCGTAAAATTCCGAAAATACGCCCCGGGGCTTGTATTTTTCAAAGGCCCTTTTTGAGGGGCTTATTTTTGGAGGGGCTTATATTCGGAGGGGCTTATCTACGGAGGGGAATTTACGTTTCGAAATCGATTGGGGTAGCCTTATAGTTGGAAGTAAATGTACCGTTTTAGCTTTGTTCTACTTTGTGTTTAAGGGCAATTTTCCAAGTACAAGCCACCGGGGGGCTTATATTTGGAGGGGCGATTTAACGGAGGGTTTTTTGCGTTACCGGTTTGGGGGGATTATATTTGGAGGGGCTTATACATGGAGGGGCTTCTTTTCGGAATTTTACGGTATTTTTACGGACGATTAATGATGGAAACGTGAAGGCATTGAGACTCGAATTGCCTTGTAGGCTTTTCAAAATAAATAATTTACTTACCAGTGTAGGCTGGTACGTCAAAAGCTGCTACAAGGATCAAAATCGAGAGGGACGGGAGGAGAAAATTGATAAGGTCCCAGGTATAGGCAGAATCCCAGTAGCTAAATGGGTCAACGCCGCTGACAAACTGCACATGTTTCGCTTTGTTTGCTCGTTCTTGAACAAGAAACACTACAAAGCTGGAGGCCAGAAAAGCCATGCCAAATAACACAAAGAAGGAGATCTGGAAGCCGAGTCCATTGCTGCAGTAAATGGAATAATTATAATGATAAAAATAATGAAATGATTACAATCAAATAAGGAGGGAAATTCACTAACCTACATGCCAGAGAGTTTTCATGTGCGATTTCCCGTTTCGGTGAAGTCTATACAGTGACCTACTTTTTTCTCGCCGCTTGGCCGTTTGTGGCTGCGGCCTTTGGCTGAAGATGTGTTGGCCTGCAGCTTCCCGTAAAGGATACCCCTACCTCTGGTAACCTGGGTGGAACTTTACCCGAAAGTGGACTTCAGACAAATGCACAAACTTTTTCTACAGTCTTTGGTGCCCCGTGTCTGCATGCACTGCCAACTACTTTCACATAAGCAGTTAACCACGGTGTCAAGAGGCCAAGTTTAAAAAATTATACAATTGAAAAAGGACGGGTGAATCAAGGAATAAACAGGAAAGAAAAAAGAGAGGAAATAGGAGTTCACAGACTGTGTTATAGAAGAATCTAGACAGTTTAGTGTGTCGGTTAGCATTACCGCTGTAAATCGTTGATGGATTCTTGAACTGTTCTTGGCAACGGGTGGTTTACAGTTGTCATGGAGACGTTTTTTCCCAGGACAGACCGCAGTAGACCAGCGTCGGCAGCCGCAAGTGACACGGCGATAGCATGGTAAGCTTGGTTGTTGAACCACGCCGTAACATTAACTGAGAAACAAAGTGAAATGAACAAAGATCAGGAAACCTTCCAAGGCAATGGGCTATCTGACCAACCCACCCCTCTCTTAGTGCAAACATGGCCAGCCGATGGTCTACGTTCTTTAAGGTACTCAAACGTTTTTGCAAAATAAAGAAAAAATAACCTTAACGTCACCATTAAGGTTCATAGAAAAAATCGGCATAACTCTGCGATGGGATTCGAGCCGATGATATTGCAGATGTCGATCTGGCGTTGAGGTTTCCTTCAAATTCAAGACAATTCTGTGGGGTTCAAATAATGAATTGGAGCTCCTTTCATTGTCGTAGCAGCAATCAAATCATGCTTGTTAAAGCCTCCAAGTCCATCTTTCGTGCCTTCGGTCGTTAAGTACTTTTCCGTATCACCGGTCACGTGAACAGGCTTTTTATCGCCACCAGGCCGATGCAGATGCCGATCTGGCGTTGAGCTTTCCTTCAAATTCAAGACAACTCTTTGAGATTCAAATAATGAATTGGAGCTCCTTTCATTGCCTTTTCATATTTTTTTAATTAATGGTTTCACCATTTGCTCAGGGAAAGCATGCATAAATACAGTTGTCAGGGTGACGAAGTCTGGTCCTCTTTACTACAGAACTGGAAAGGTCCTTTGCAGTGGTCTGGTTTTGATTTCTTTTGTCGAAAGATATGGGTCTGTTTTTTTTAACTTTCTAGAAATATGAACTTGAGTTGGATAACTCCCAAGAAAAAATCCTACCTGTTCCATTTTTCTTTGCAAAAGTAGCAGCAATCAAATCATGCCTGTTAAAGCCTCCAAGTCCATCTTTCGTGGCTTCGGTCGTTAAGTACTTTTCCATATCACCAGTTACGTGAACAGGCTTTGTATCGCCACCAGGCCACTGAGTTCGGAAATTTTCGGCTAACGATTTTGTCTCTGAAGAACTATATTTGGAAAACAAAAACCAACTATGATATGACTTTACACCTAAGAGACCAAGCTCCTGAGCTCAGCGAGATTTAAAATGTCAATTTTCGGTTTTGTGTATTTACATTGGTTTGAGGAGAAGATCAGCGAACAATCAGTAACTAAACACGCTGTCTATTTGTTTTCTTACAAGAGATATCTCCTTCTAGAGTGACTTTGTTCTTTTAGGGAAAAGGTATAGAAGTGCCATAACAAATTTAGTTATACAAGCATATTATGCTTTTCGTTTCGCTCTTGGCTTTGTATGAACTGACGCCCCTTCCAACTTACTTCAAAAGTATAGACTTCCCATCAGAAGACTACGGGACACACTCGGAACAAAATATAAACTAGACCTATTTCGATAACTTTGCCAATTAAAGCTTTCTTCGGCACATGGACACCTAAGAGCGAACGGAAAGGAAATTCCTATTTTTCTCTGTACTTTCCATCCATTTGTCAAACTTGCTTTTTCAGACATCATTCCCCTTCCCACTTATGCTCCAATAACCCCACGTCACCCCCCCCCCCCCCCCCTCTACATTCCCGTGCCTCTTACGCACTAATCTCTCGTCCTTCTTCCCAACTATCCTGGGTACCTGCAGTTCCGCTTCTACTGGCCTTCTTCCTGCCCTCGACTTCCCTCAAGTACACACCGAACCCCTTTCGATAACTTTGACAAATAAAGCTTTTTTTGGGAACAGGACACCCAAAAGCGAACAGAAAAGAAATTCCTTTTTTTTTCCTTTCCTTCCATCCCTTTTTCAAACTTCCTTTTTCAGACACCCTTCCCCCTCCCCCTTATGCCCCGAAAACCCCCCCGCCCCCCCCCCCCCCCCCCTTTAAATCATCGTGCTCTTAACTACGAATAGTTCTAGTCTTATACGCAGTAGCCTGCGGACGCTGACGTATTTCCGGTCGTCGCATCTCTCCAGCCGAAAGTAGCCGCAGAGTCGTAACGCAACGCTCCTCCCTTCAAAGGACGGCTACGAAGTCAGGAGACTAGAATACTTCAGGAGCCAACACTTACCCGTCTGAAGCCCAAGGAACGAAGTTGTTCTGGTAGTTATTAGTCGTGAGATCAAGAGGCGGTGAGTCAGTGGGTTGAGGAAAAGTCTTGGCACTAATGAGTGCAATAAGCGTAAACACCAGTGGAAGGAGAAGCTGTGCAACAAGAGACAGCTTGTGACGCTTGGAGTGAAGTAGGCGCTTAACAAACATTGCGTACCACCGCTGACGAAACAGACGAAACCCAGAAGAGTGGGTGTAGTTACTGTAGTCGCTAAAAGTGCCATAGCCACCAGACGCTACTCCGAATGTTCCCAGTCGTGAAAAGACCGATCTTTCTGTCTCATTTGGGATTTTTCCATTCACTTGCATTCTATTTACTGAGGAAGTCTCTGAGGAACCAAACGTAGTAATACAGTTACCTTCATGACGCTTACTCACCAAAATCTACTAAGTACGCTCAACTTTGTCTTACAGACAAGTATTCTCCAATGCTGCCTTGAAAGAGTGCGCGTAACACCACGCGCGAACAAGGTGGCGCGCGGGGGGAAGAGAGAAAAGGAATGACGAGAAAAGAAATTTCATTGAGTGCGATTTGAAATCAAACGACCATGAAGGGTCAAACACATAGGCTTAGTCCAGTAGTCTCTCATTTTCTCTCTTCTCCTGCGAGTCACTTTCTTAGAGGGTGGCCCAACATTTTCCACATCCATCATGATCCTGCCATCCGTAGCAACAGACGACAGGAAACAGTTTCAATGCCCAAGTATAGTTTTTAAATAACACAAATGTACCATTATTTCTGGAATTCTATTGATGTAACGACACATTTTATCTATTTAAAAAGATTGCAAATAGTGTGACACAGCCCCAGCCTTTAAAAAGGAAACAAAAGACATATTTTCTCTATCATAATCATAACCAACCTTCTTCATCCCGTTTTTGTAGTTTATCGCTGAGTGTGCTGTCCATTTCCTCCCCAACCTTGAGAAACACTTCTTCCAATGTAGTAACTGAAGCACCGTAACTAGCGATGCCAAGCTCCTGCCGGCGATTTTCCAGCTCCAAGAAAAGCCCCTCGAACTTATCAGTAGCTTCACTTGGCAAAACAAATGATAGCTCAGCACCTGCTCAAAGAACAACAACACAAATTGTAAGAATTACGTGCACTGTTCCCTTTTGCTTCTTGCCGCTGGCAGGTTTGTATGGTTTGTATGGTTGGTAATTTGAGCGTAAGTGTTCTACCACGTTCAACCCTTTACTTCTAATAGTAGCCGAGGAAAAAAATTACAAAATACCGGTAATTCAAATTTCTTTTTGTAAAATACTACGAAATAAATAGTACTATGCAAACGTTCTGCCAAAGAGGTTTAATTTGAATGATAACACGATAGGATTTCGTCCTAAGATTAAAAAGTTACCGTAAAATTGCGAAAATAAGCCTCTTTCATGTATAAGCCCTCCAAACTCGTAACGCAAAAAAACCCTCCGTTAAATCGCCCCTCCAAATATAAGCCCCCCCGGGGCTTGTACTTGGAAATTGCCCTCAAATACAAAGTAAAACAAAGCAAAAACGGTAAATTTACTTCCAAGTATAAGGCTAGCCCAATCGATTTTAAAACGCAAATTTCCCTCCGTAGATAAGCCCCTCCGAATATAAGCCCCTCCTAAAATAAGCCCCTCAAAAAGGGCCTTCGAAAAATATAAGCCCCGGAGCTTATTTTCGGAATTTTACGGTAAGTGATAAATAATCTCACAACAACATGGCCTAGAAGTTAGAAGAGTTAACTTGAAAAATACGAGAAGTAGATACATGTAGATTAGATACCACGACGACGACGACGACGACAACGACAACGACAACGTCCAAAAGAATTGGTTTTATGGGCAAAACAACACCTCAGCACGTGCATCACGCTTTTTGGTACATTTCCTTGACAAGACCTCCTAATGACAATGATTAACTATGGTTTTATGGAGGACGTGAACATACGTGGACGAATTTTAATTTCTCTTTTTGAACCTGGATATTTAAGTCCTCACGGATTCAATGGCCTTCATTTGACTAGAGCGGATTCAAATAGACGCGAATAAGTTTGAAAGGACGCAAATTCATTTTTAGCGACGTTATCACTGCCGTTGTTGCTTAAGCTCCCCAATACGTTAAAACGGACGATCTCACAAGTGGTAAGAGAATGGTGGTATCACACGGGCAGCTGAACATATTAAACTCACCAACATTGCTCTCTAACATTGCTGTAGGCACATGACCGCTCACCACAGATATAATCTTGGATACGCAACAGTGGGGCTCTTTTACAATAACCATGTGATAGCCCACTCCATACTTGTTCTTAAGGAAGAGGGAAGATCCACAGCATTTGATGTTTCCTTCTGCCATGATGGCGATCCTGTCACCAAGAATATCAGCTTCGTCCATGAAGTGCGTGGTAAGAAGTATAGTCCTTCCTTGCTTCTGCTGCTGTAGCAAATCCCAGGTGAATCTGCGTGCTGAGGGGTCCATGCCAGATGTTGGCTCATCCAGCATTACAACCTGTTAATAAATAAAACTCAATGTCATAATCATCATAATCATCATCATCATCAGCGGTGTTTGTTTAAACTACAGGTAACTTGTAGAAGCTTACACGGTCATGGCAGCTCATGAATACGGCGCTGCTTCTCCCCATGTGTGTGTGTGGGGGCGGCGGCGGGGGGGGGGGACTCCCTCGACGGGAAGCTCCTTTTTCAGGCTTCAGGTATATTAAAAGGTAGGGAATTCATAAGTTTAAGTATGCACAAGCGTAAGAAAATCTATCATTTAAGTATTTCAGAGGGCCTTTGATTATACAGGCTATTTTCAATACACTCACATAAATAATTTTCTACAAGTGAAATTTTCATGTAGGGATAAAAGATGACATAAACCATGCCAACCTTGGAATCTGAAATAAGTGCTATTCCAACAGAAAGTTTTCTTTTCATGCCACCAGACAGTGCACGGGTCTGTGTATGTCGCTTGTCAGCAAGTCCAATGCATTCAATCATTCTGTTAACCTCCTGCCGTACACGGTGGGATGGACAGTTCTTTAACTTAGCAAAGAACCACAGATGTTCCTCAACAGTCAGATGGTCATACAACACATCATGTTGAGGACAAAGGCCTGGAGCAAAATTTTCTGATTAGCAACAAGTATTTTATTCAGGGTTTCTAAAACACATGCTGGTGATTTCGGTGGTGACAATGGTGGCGATAATGATGATGATGATGATGATAACGATTATGATGATTGATGATGATGATGACTGACGAAAGAGTGGCAGAAATCGAGCCTACTACCATCTCACAAATAACAAAAATAGCTTTAATTCTATGTTTTCAATATTATCATAGCAGTTCAGAACCTCTCTTGATTAGAAGTCAAGCATACACATAACTTACCCAAGCTGCTGCGCACTCCACTAATGTTATCTCTAATGGAACAGCCATTAACAAGAGCTGAGCCAGATGAAGCAGGAAACAACCCTGTCAGCATAGACATAAGAGTTGTTTTCCCTGCTCCATTGTGTCCCAGTAGAGCAGTTATCTGGCCTTCATACATGTTCAGTGATACTCCATTAACCGCAACTTTCTTTCCTATAAAATAAGAAAAAATAAAATAAATTTAAAAAGTACACTTTGGAAAGATTGAAATGAAAACATGATTTTTGAAATCAAACAAGGAAACTTAGTTATCATAATTTGATTATGTAACTTATTACTTGTAAATCCAGGACTTCAGATAATTGGGTCCACTCATCAATACCCTGAGATAACAGTAGTTTTTTGTACTCCCTCTTAAAAAATACTATCTCTCGGGCTTGGTTTGTCTGTAAAAAAGGTGGGGACCATTCTCCTAAATCCGCCACTGCTTGGCGAAGGTTACAATCTGGATTTCTTTACACAGTAACCTTATGATAAAACTCAGTAGAAGAGTAAGGTATAATAAATTTTACCATGCTGGCAATACTCCTGGCAACTTGGTGTATATACATAATGGCATTTGGTTTTTACTGGCCCTGTCTGTATTCAATTGTCTTCAAACAACTTACACACAAGTTAGTGTTGTCTCACATAAAATAGCAAAGACACGTTTATCTAATAATGATAACGTGTGTGAAAAGCTGTTCTCTAAGAAAAATAATAATGGTAGAGTGCACTGATCCTGAGAAATCCAGGGTGCCCAACATATGATTCTTAAGTAAAATTGTCAAAGATATATCCTAGTCTCCACCCAATCAGTGCCAAATGAAGGTGCCTGGGGTCTCTACATTGCCTCCAGGTGATTTTAGAGCAGAGCCCTGATATATGAAGAAATAACTAACTCAAGTCAAACCTTTTTCAGTAGAAAACACTTTTTTGAGGTTTTTAATTTCAATTCCAGGCACCAAACCCACTGGTTCCTTTTCTAAGAAATCTGGTGCTGACATCCCAGTTTGGCTGGAGCCATTTTCTAAGTCATGGAACTCTTTTATCTCCACCTATAAAAAATAAGTAGAAATTTAAAACAATAATTAATTAAAAGCAAAATAAAGGCATGAGTAACGTTAAGGGTATGGTTGGCCATGTGCAATCAGGGGTGCAAGTCTAAGAAGAGCAATAATGTTATCATCTAAAGAAGATGAAGAGAGCTGCAATGGAGCAGGAGTTTATAATGGGGGCAAGACAGATGTAAAGTGTTATGGCTGATGGAGAAAAAGTATGTACTAACCATGACCGTATGATTCATTGTTGTAGTGCCTGTCATTTCACCAAATTCTGCTAGCTCACCTCATTAGTCAATTCATTAACATTAATTTTGTCAGTTCCCTAAAGTCTTTTGCCTAATGAGTAATCTGTGGCTTAAAGAACAAACCAGGTATGTATACATAGGTGTCACACTTTTTTGTGTCATGGCTTTAAAGAAGGAAGTATATACATGTGCATCACTGGTTCAGTTTCTTAAGCGGAACAAATGAGGACCTTAGCGAAGCGGACATTAGCAAAATGACTCATAGGCAAAACAACCAGTCACCAGCGACACTTGGTTTTCAAACATTCACATACCCCATCCCCACTCCTACATTAATTTTATCTAATTACTTACGATGGAGATAGTTTAATGATTCTAGGTACCAAGCTTTCTAAAACCTCTACCTTACCTCTTTGCCTTTACCACACCAGTAACTGGGTAAAACAGGAAAGTACCACGGCTGTGGAACACCAAAGTCTCCAGGAAAAACAGCCTCAACGTACCAAGCGATAAGACCGTAGATCAAGGAATCTACCACAAACATGACCATGACAAGACCAAGAGTAAAATCATCATCGATAGAAGGTCCTTGGTTAAGATTCGACCACTGAGATCCGATGCCAGCTCCTTCAAATTTGCCAATCAGCTGAGCTCCCATTGACATTGCGACGTTGGAGAGAAGGCACGATGCAGCCTTGGCTCCTACGCTCATTGTGTCATAGTACTGTGCCACAAAAAAGTATGGGATGTAATTGCAGAACCAGATGACCCCTCCAGCAGCTGCAGCAATGTTTGCCTTGGAGAAGAATACGCTAACGCAGAAGCAGAACATAATAGAAGAGACTGCATAGAGCATAAGGAAAACAAACAGAACAGCTGGAGAAGTTTTGTTCAGGACACGGCCATTGGAGTTGAATTTTACGGTAAAGAAAAAGGTTGCAAAGGCCATAATGATGAGGAGGAACAAGAAATATTTTGTGAACCATGCAAGCCAATGTAACCAGCCACTCAGTCCCATCATCTTCATGGATTCCTGTCAAATTAAGTAGAATTATTAATACCTGTTTTAAAATTGATCAAATCTATCAATAAATATAACATAAAAGGTAGATGTCAAGGTGCATGTCACTAGGGCTGGCTCAACTCATTGTCTATAAAAGCAAGAATTACTGCACCAATTCCCCTTGGATAGGATGCTATATATATAGTCCAACTTAGGGTTAACCCAACAAGCAATGTTTCCAGACTACTATCCATTAATACAACTGGGTCAGGTAAAGAGAGATGTTGTGAATACTGGTTTTCCAAAGGAAAGCAATGGGGATACAGGGTGAGGGGTGGCGAATGGTACCTCGAAAAACGTGGGTCTCGGAAAATTTTGCCAGGATCTCGAAATCTCGGAAGCGTTTTTGATAAGTCTCAAAGTCTCGTTTTTTCAAGGTTTGGTTTTACTTTTTTTGAGTCTCGAAACTTTTCACCAAAGAGTCTCGGGCTCGGATTTCTAACTAGGATCTCGGCGTCTTGGCAAGTCTCGGATTTTACCATCCGCCACCCCTAGGGTGCAAAGAATGTCATTCTTACAGCTTGCCATTAAGGCAAGCTGAAGCTAACATTTACTAGCCCAAATATCATTTCAACTAGCCCAAGCGTTTTGATGAGCAGATTGATTTCACAGTTCTTCTGTAATTTGAATTCCTCAAAAAAATTCATTTGTCCATCGGGAAAGTTACTAACAGAATTCACTAGCGCGATAGCAAAATCCACTAGTCCCGGGCTATCGGACACTACTTTCTCTGCATGCTAGGATACATCTAGAGTCTAGTTGACAGTATTGGACAACCCTTGGGTTAATATAATTATTATTTGCTAGGAGCAGGTGCAGGTGCAGGTCCAACTAGGGGTGTTAGGATTGGGACAGGGTTTGAGTTGCAGGATCAAGTCAAGCCTGCACACCTGCAAATCCGCAAATTAGATTCTCCATGTTTATCAATGCCTGTTTCTTTTTTATTATTTACAACACTCAAATTTCTTAACCTTGGCAGCCGAGTTAGTATTGTGGCAGATTACGTGTTAGGTCTGGATTCCTTGCCATTGTTATATCGCTTCCCTTGAAGAGAAACTTTGCATCTAGTGGTGAAAAGGCAAAAAGTCTTACCTTTGTTACCTTAGTGTATGGAATCCATTTGGATATGAATAGATTCCACTGGAGATTTTTATTTTCTATTCGTAAGAGACTTGAAAAAAATGCTAATTATGTTGTATGAGAGGGTAGAAAAGTGTTCCAATGGAGCATGCACGCTGAATGCATCAATTATTGGTCATGCATAGATTATATTCCACTGGAAATTTACATTTTCTACATGACTGTTAAATCTGAGAGCGACTACTGCTCAAGGTCATGGATGAAGAGCCTCCAAATATTATTAACACTGATTAAAAATAAAAATTGAATTTCCTTACCTTTAATTTTTTCTCTTTTTCATAGACAACATCACGGACAATGTTCAAGGCAGTGAAAATAAGTGATAACATCAAAAGTAGAGGAAGGCTAGTTTGTATCACTAGAACAAAATTGTCATGAGTGTAATCAGGATATGGAAACCGCTTTACTGACACTGTTGTATTCAGCATACGTGTATCATTCTTCCCTTTGTACCGGAAATTCATGATAGCAACATCCACTGCATGTTGAATCGCCAAAAATCCAGCTTCAAAATAAAATGGAGGGCCACCATGGGAGGCATTTTTGTTCCTTGGTCCTGGAACTTGTAAAACTGGAAATGTAAACTGAGTATTCCAGGTTGTAGAAGGACTTGTACCAAACCCTTGCCTTTCTTTCTTGCCACCATTTTGCTTTATATCAGTCTTTGAGCTCAGTCTGATCTTGTATATAATATTACTACCGTTCGGACTTGTATTGAAGACAATTCCTCCGAGGAATGTTTTGTTATTGCCTTGTAAACTGACTAAAGAGCTAACCATATCCTCTTCACTGCTAAAGGGCTCAGCACGTGCAAATCCAAGCTGCTCAACCACACGGTGCATAACGTGTTGTACATCACTAGTGTTAGGTGCAAACGCAATTTGATTGAGTTTCGACACATCTGATGGAAGTTTATTCACCTCAAAGGCAGGATACGTGACACTTGGTTTGTACTCATTCTTTATCTTGAAAGCTCGCAGAAAGACTAGGATGGCTATGAACAGGAGAGGCAGTGCAATCTGAAAAAAAGTTCGCACTGGGGCTCTCTTAAGGAGGATGAAAATTTTCCACATTAACAGTGAAAATTGGTTTGCTCTTGCCATGACTGCACTACAAGATCTGTTTGATTCTAGCAGGATGATCGAAAGATCAAGATTTTACTTGAAAAGAAGATACACCCTTAGGTCTTCACATCCACAATCAGTTTACCTGTGTAAAAGATAAAAGACAGATATCATATATTACAATATTAATAATTACTATATCTGTGTGGAAAAAGGCGCCCGCTAGGTTTTCTCTTGAATATGGCACCTCACAAAATTAAACAAGGGGGAATAGTCACCTGAAGACAATTTTCAGGAACTCTCAGGACAGGGTAGAGTGGTGAAATTTGATTATGGCCTTACACCCCTGCTGGAATGAAGAGGATGAGTGAGTGTGTGAGTGTTTTATATGAAACCAAACAAAACCAAACCAAACAGGCAGAAACCAGTAAAATTATAAGGAGAAAACTAACAACATTGATTGAAACAATTAAAGGGTGCTTTCCATTAAACTAAAACTTTTGAAAATTTGGAAACAGAGGCAAATTGTATAGAAATTTCCCAAGAAAGTTTCCAGAAATTCCACACACTGTTGAAATTTTGAAATGCGAACCACTCAACAAAATTCTAGAAATTCTGAGAGCAAAGTTGAATGGAAAGAAAACTTCCGGGAAAAAGTTTCCGAAAATCTGGTTATTGACCTCGCAAGGTTTGGAAAATACTGTGCCATTCTCTACTGGAAGTTGCCGAAAATTTCGGCTGAATGGAAAGCACCCAAAGTTACCAAACAAATTGAAGTGATCCATTCAGTTTTGACTGAAAGTTTGATTACTGCTTGGCCAAGTGGAAATGGAAACAAGAATTTTTTGACATGGAACAGCAAGTTTCAATCCGATCAGACCGACGGGTCAAAGAGGACCACCTGTGGAAGTGGACCACTTTGACCACAGGCAGCCCAACAACGTACTTTGTTTATTTTCATACATTCTGTTATAAATTCGAAGTCAAACGAACTCCCACAGAGTCTGGACAGCCTATGCTTTGATCAGAAAATTTCCACACGGAAGAAAGCATTCCATTTATTTCTCAAAAGGAAATTTCCGAAACTTTTGGCATGATGGAAAGAACCCTAGGAGCAGATCAGAAACAAAGGGACTGGAAACAGTTATAATCGGCATTGATACTGTTACGCTTGTGGGAGGTTCCACTGTAGGTAAATCGTTGTGCATCGCACATCCATGCCAATAAATGCATGCAGAGGTAAAAAGAGAAACATACAAGTTGATTTAGCATACCCACCACGCCAAACAAAATCAATTACGTAAGCCCGCGAGTTAAACATTCCCCTAGCAAATGCTGGTGCATGCATTTCAATTGAAAACTACACATACATAATGTAGAATCTCCATTGCAAACCTTTCGTTTTCGACACTTAACACAAAAACTTACCTTGAAAAGCTTGAACTTAAGATAACTCCGAACTACACTGAACCACGTTCGCGATAGATTTTATACTCGTTCATGAGCAGCTCATCACATGATTTTAGGCGCAGTTCCGCGTCATTATTCATGTGTAATGCCCCTAAAAATAAAACAAGGTTTTTCGCAAAGTCACCGGTTTTCTCCAATAACATTAGGGTAACCAAGCCTCCAATCATAACGGTAGAGAAGACTGGTACCAGCATCCGAGAAAATGGCGGACAAGTTGAGAATTTGGATCGATATTTCCACCGTCAGAAGGATGTGTTCTACAGCGTTGCTTCTCTGTTAGTTACTACACAATGGAACGTTGTATCCATCCCAGACATTTCGTATTCCCCTGTTTCAGGGGGATTGGGCAGCTGTTTAGGGCAAGTCGACTGTGTTGTGGGAAGACTACATATACTATCACACGTGCGTTTTCACGGACTTCGTTTTGCCGCTATGCATCTTCGACAAATGGCGCTGAAGAGGAAAAAAATGATAATCCACAGTTAAAAACTATGAAAAAAGGAAAAAGTAAAGGAACTGTCTTCGTAAATTTACTTGAAACGAAGAAGGAGGTTAGTGAAGCAGCTGATCTTGGCTCTGTTAACTGATGGGCTAGCCTGGCATTCACCGAAAAATTAAATGATAGCTACGACTGGAACAACCTCCACGTAGCCTGCCTATATTTACTTCAAAACCTGGTAAATAATGCTCGGGGTTGACCCTGGGGATGCCAATTGCAGGGATCCCCTCTATGACCCATTCTCTCTTCCAGTACCTCTCTCCTTGGTGCATTACAAATCCCGCAAGTCTTTCATTGGGGGATCCTGCTACTAGAGGGCAAACACGATTCAATTCCCCCATCCCAGGCTATAATTTTGCAGCAAATGTCAACAAATTCTGCACCATGCCCGTGGATGCTCACAGGATTGACCCACCGCAATAATAGTAATAATAATTATAATAATATTCCGTTATTTACCCTCGGCAGTATTTATAGCACTATTGCTAGTGGGGCCGAGCAAATGTCTGAAACAAATGATTCAAATCAAACTTAACAGGGTTAAGAATCCCAGCTGGCCAGAGGCAAATCCAGCAGGCTATTTACAAACATGGCGGAGGATTTGAACTCGGGACTACCGTGAACAAATCCAGCGAGCGGTCAGAGTGGGACTTGAACTTTAGTCCAGCGCTCTAACCACTCGGCTCTGTTGCCCCCTAACTGACCACTGATAATTGCAAAATGTGCAAAGTTCTCTTTATTATGGCTGATTTAAAAATCTTTCTTCCAGGAAATTTTGAGGGAGCTTAATATTCGGAGTTTAGAGGAGCTTTCAAACACCAAAGGGATAGGAAAAAGTAAAGCAACTGCTCTTGTGGAATATCGTGATAATTTTGGACCATTTATTAGCATTGAGGAACTCTTTCAAGTAAAAGGCTTTGGTGTGGCATTTTTTAAAAGACTTGAAGAAGCTGGTGAATTAGCACCAGTCAAGAAAAAGACTACCAAAGGACTCGAACAAATCTGGAATTTTTTGGATTTGAATAGGAAACAGGTGAGCATCGTACTGAAGCTAACAATATTGTGGCCATTTGTCTTATGATGTGTCCATCTTGTGTCTCTGGGCAACTTAATTGCAGTGTAATAATAATAATATTATTAGATAATGTGAATTGCAAAAAAAACAATTATTGTATTTTTTGCAATTCACATCATCTTTTCATTCTTTTCATTGGTTAAGATGAACTCAACAAATTGGCCTGCTCCCAATCAATGAATGGTTCTTCATAGCTCAGTTGATAGAGCACGGTAGTGTTAACACAGAAGCCATGGGTTCTGATCCCATTGAAGATCTGAACAAACACTTTTTCCGGTTAATTTGTATTTTACTGCTTGAAATGCTATAACAACTGTGATGATCATGCCTTCTGTTAAATTTTGTATTTTCTGCAGTTCACTTCTACATTTAATTGCAGTGTTTTAAGGGAGCAGTGTCAAGCTATTTGTTATGTTCTTCAAAGCTTAAGTGGTCTTCATGTCAACTGAATTTAAAAAATAAATCAGTCCAATTTTGTACATGTATATGTTGTAGTTAATTTTTTATCTCTGGTAATTGTTGTTTTTCTTTTGTTTTTGGGTATGGTAATGTATGCTAATAAACTTGAAACAAAAGAAAAACAAAAATTACCTGAGGTAAAAAATTAAGTACAACATATACAAATGGCCTATGGAAAATTCTAAAAATCATTAGGTAATTCTAAAGAATCATCTATGTACGTCAGAATTTTTTTCATCATTTTAGGTGATATCAGAAATTGTTTCTATAGACATTGGGTTTCAGAATGCTGCTTGGGTTCATATGGACAAAGACAAACAAATATTGGACTGGTCAAGGGCTGAAATTACCAAGCCAAAACCCTACAATCCAGCTGTGTTTAAACCATTGGTAAGTTTTTCCTTTCTTCTCATTTACTTTTTTTAGTGATTAAGTGTTAATTTGTGTATTTTTTACTCTTTTTCTCATCCCACATACGCATACATTCCTTAGTAGTAGAATGGTACAGAGCAGAGCATATTTTGCTGCCTGTCCTTGCCGATCGTAACAATGCAGTAACACAGACAAAAAAAAAGTAGGATGATTTCTTCTGCTCAGCAACAAAAGTGGCTAAGAAAACAGCTCCAAATTTCATTCCCTTGCCAAACTCCGCCTGCAGAAGTTGTATCATCTGATTGACCTTGATTGGACTCTGACGCAATCAAAAGGGTGATGCAAACATCCTTTTTGCTTGAGTATAAAATTATGTGGGCAGAAAGATGATGATAGGGCTCATTGATCATTTGTCCCATTTTGCTCTTGAATGCCATACTTTGACCGCATACTACTGGTCTTCTTCAGGTGACACTGTTCTATCAATTTATCATAACAAGTGATTATCATAAAGCAAAATAATGAGAATGAGCCATCTCATACACATATCACATTGATCAATAATATCTTTTATTGTTAATCAGTCAGAATGATCCAGATAATTGAAGCTTCTGTACAGTTTGTATATCATTATTCAAGCCATCTGCTTGCTGTAAATATGACACATCAACAATAATGGCTGGCGTTTTTTCCAGATTTTTCGTTTTGGACCACTCATATCAGGAAAATTAAGGATGGTGCTATTAAGAGGTAGCTGCTGGTAATTCAGTGGGTCAAAGAGAGCTTACGACTGGCTCAAATTAGGCTGGAAGTTAATGGCATGGGGTAATTTGGAGTTTACGAATTGAGGGGAGGTCTGAAATTTAGGCTAGTAATTTTGAAGGTGCACCTAGGCAAAAAGCCAGCTTGACTAATAGATGAGCCTACTGAGCTTTCCCTTAGCTACATCCCAGGAAAATACAGAAAAATACTGGATTCTGATGAAAGTGGGCAACAGAGGTTCTCAGAGCTTGCATTAAAGCGGCATTCATTATGGTTAACTTTTAAGTGAAAATTGATGGGTGTTTCTGTTAAGAAATACAGCCAATAATTTAGGTCAGCATATTACAAAAGGGATATTTGTAGATGTTTGAATCAGTAACAAAAAGGCAAGAAGAACTGAAATGTCTGGTTTATTTATTTCATTTAAGGTTCAAGATTTTGTGAACAGCATTCCAAAAACAGAACTTTACGTTGTTGAAATGCAAAGTCATCGAATCGGAAAACAAACTGCAGCCCTTCTTCCATTTGCAGTGCATCTTCGGGTTTTCGAAGCCATGCTAACTTGTTTACTACCTGGCCTAGTGATACCTTTTGATCCTTTATATACTTCAAAACATTTTTGCCTTCCAAGTGGAACTGCCAAAAAGAGGGCATCAGTGAATTTGGTGGAGAGTTTGTTTGTGGACAGAACAATAGAGGAGCCTTTTGAGGCACAGTGTGAACAGTTTCTAAAAGAACAACAGGGAATGGAAGGAAGTGAGGATTTTGTTACATCATTCATTGAAAGCCACCAAGCTAGTTTTGCTGGAAACAACACAAAGCCACTTCTTCAGATTTCTCCTAAGTTTATTGACTATTTTAAATCCTGTCATAAAAAGGATGACCTAAGTGATTGTCTCCTGCAAGCTCTTGCATTTTTGGACATTGTTGTCGAGGGCAGAAAATGATCATATTGTCTCTTGCTGAGTTCAATACCAATTACTGGAAATCATGACATTAGGTCAAAGCAGGACTGAAGAGGGTTTGTATGACATCAGGTCAACTTAGTCCCCGGGGGGGACTCCGTATATGAAAGAAGTGGGGATGCTCGTCGTCTTGCTTAGGGGTGTAAATTTCAGATCTTGGTCTCGCTTAGGGAGTTCTGGGCCAAACACTATTATATTTAGCTGTAAAGGTCTCTTTTAGGGTTGCACTCAAAGAAATATTAAACAATTATATTTTTTCAATTTGTTTTATTTACTTGATTCACTTAATCAAAGTTTAAAATGATCGCTTTTAGGCGTCAAAAAAAGGTTGGGCCACTCCCAGATTGGTCTCCTTTAGGGGTTTAATTCAAAATTTCCGACAAGCATCCCCACCCCTTTCATATGCGGAATCCCCCCCCCGGGACTTAGTCCTTGTGGTAAGAAAGAGCATGGCTACAAAAGTCAATAGAGACTGCAGAATCTGTGTCCACCTGGATCTGAACAAGCTGCCTTATGACTTCAAACCCTCATTATACCTGGTAACTTCCAATGCGGTACCAGTTACCAGTATAGTTACAATGTGTCCTTTGTTATCTAAATGACTAAATTATCTAAATGATTTGTTATCTAAATGACTGATGTTTGAAAACCCAGAGCCTCTGACAGTGCTTGAATAGAGGCTGTGGGTAATAGCATCTTCAGTGATCTCGATGAACACTTTGTTGACTCAGAAATAGTACTTTTGTGTGGTGATTGATTATAGACTACGGGTAGTCCCTATTTTCCCAAGGCATAACCTAGGGAGGAATAATATTGGTAAGCACAAGCATAATATCTCCTTATTAATATGGGCAGATTTAGAGGAGTGCTGATGGAGCCATGGTCCTTTGCACACCCACCCCCCTCACCTCACAGTGCTTATCCTATTCTATTCTTTTCTTTTATAAAATATTTTTTTCTCTTATCTTTTTTCTTTTTTTTACATGTAAGTGGGCTACATTATCACACAGTTACCTCACTATTCGCATCAAGTCACATGTCTTACACTTAATTGGTCCCCCCCCCCCACCCCCATTGTCAGAAATTTGGTTCAATTTCTACAGAATTTTCTAAGCATCTTTCTTCAACAGCCTTGGTTTATAGAGACAAATTTAATGCTCTCAGAGTTCTAACAGGCACACCATAATTAGTGTCTGCCCCCTCTTTCTAAACCCTCTGGATTTATTTTATGGACAGTTGATGATGTCACTCACTCTACTACCTCCAAGGTTAAGATACGGGACTATTCATACTCTACTTAGGTGACCCTTCCCTGGAGCGGATATGCTGCTATTTGTGGTTATGCTAGGTAAAAAAAACTATTGATGTAATGGTACTAGCGGTAGATATTTTGAATTAATAAAGGGTGTGAAAGAAAAATTTGATTAATAGTCTAAATACTTTAAAAGTGTAGTCTCTGTTCTCATGAATGTTATACCTGAAATGTATCTTAGTTTAAGGCTAGTATTCTAAAAAAGGATCACAGTTAGCAGGGTAGGTACTCTGATCTGGTGTTGATCGGTGTTCAGTGTGTAGTTGTTTATTTTGTTGATCCACCCAAGAGCGTATGGTTCACAAAACATGACAAAATAAAGAGGGTAAAGTAAAAAAAAATAATAAAATGGAGATAATAGTGTTTTTTAACAACATTTCAATCACATATTGATAACCCTTTCACCAGGTTTAGGGCAAAAAGAAGTGTTTTTAAAGAGTCCTTCATTTTATTTGACAAAAACTCTATTACTGCAGACTAACATTTTCTGGAAAAAATCTTATTTTTGAACTGTGGATAAAGAAATGATAGCCTACGTGTTCTGCACCCTCCCCCCAACAAAGGAAATTGTTTTTCCTTTGCCGGGGGGAGGTTGTGGCTACATGTAGGCTAAAAAATGAAAGTGGGTGCACCGGTAGCTCAAGCATAGCGTAACAAAGAAAATATAAGGAGTTGTATGGGGAAAAATTGTAATATTATTGTAATTGTAATTCTTTTACCCACGGAGCTGTTACCCTTATAGCTCGTGGCTTTAATTTCGTTACCACTTGTCACGACCAAAGTCACACAACGCCGTGTAAGAGGTGGACTGGAACGAGAGACTGCGTTGTAAACAATCAAATATGGCTTCCCGGTGGAGGACGTGGGATCAGGATTTCTTCATTGATGTGCATGCCTCAAAAAAGCCGGAAGAAACAGAACTTATTCCAGCTTTAGGACATGGAAGAGGCAAACCACCGAAAGATATTGGTTCTATCGCCCTTCCTAGAGCGGCTTTGGGAATAACAAAAGAAAAAAAGACCTCTCATGCGAGTGCTCCAGGCCGAGGTAGAGCTTCTATGATGAAAGCACGTGCTTTGACTGATTCACCGCCTTTTAGAAGGCCGGGAGAGAGATCCGAGAAGATGCCTATCAGCATTTTAAACGTAAAGAATCTAGTTTTTATTAGCTTATACTTCCAAGTTAAACGTTTTCGATTTTCTTGAATTGAGCTCTAAGTTGGGCCAGGCACCATATGCGCGCATGTAGGGGAACCCCGGGGGGTACTTTAGGAATTTCTGGGTGGGGATGTGCCGCTGGGACCCTGGAACCCTTAGCCTATACCAGAGCTAGTTCAGCTGAATTTTGCTACCCTATACTAGAGTAAACTCCTCAAATCCCCCCTATCCTAGAGTAGCTGTTTCCAGAAACTTACTGAGGTCACTACCACAGTTGTCCAGCCAAAACAAAACTTATACCACAATTCCTAGTCTAGATAAAATCTTCAACCAACTGATCAGTTTCCTGATAAATGATACCCTATTCTAGACCCAAACGCTCTGATTTATATACCCTTTCCTAGAGTAAGCTGCTTGAAACCATACCCTTCACAGCGGCACATACCTATATAGCCCATGTATGGCAGTATCCCCCTCCCGGGAAGGGAACTGTAAAACATACAACCAAACAATTAAGTCTTGTTAGTAGTTGTATTATTTTGTTCTGTCGTTGCCCCTTGTTTTGCTTAATTTATTATAATTCCTACTCTTACAGCTGTCTAACAACAACAACATTAACTGATCTGGTTAGAATAATTATTCTAGAGTGCTCAACTTTTCATGTGTGTGTTCTAAAAATGTACCTAAAATTTTAACAAACAAAAAAAATATACTGTGTAAGTGTGGCAAATGGTTTGATAGATTCTGAGACAGTGGTTTTAGCGAAAAAGATTTGGAGTCAGGCAGAAAATACACCGACCTAGGACTTTGCAATTTACCATAAAAGCTGCCAAGATTTTAAGCAATGACTTACTTTATAAAAACAATTCTGAGTTTCTATTGTATCTAGAAATAGGGAATAATGCAATAGTTGAAACAGATTTATAATGCTCTACCAATGACCCAGTATTTGTTATACATGTAGCAAACCCTTTGCTGCCATTTTATACCATTTTTTTACTCATGCTATTTTGTTTTGCTTTTCTGTTTATTCATATTCATTTCTTTCCCAGCTTTTGAACTTTGTATTATTATTTAACAATAATTATTGAGTGAGGCTGAGTATCATCTGAATAATTACAGCCTCATCAGATAACACCTTCCTGTTGAAACTAGTGAAATATTCCTCCATTTTTGTACTCACCACCAAAACAGCTCAACCTCGTCTCCAGGTCTTCTCAGTTAATGGTTCAATAATCTGCAACTTTGCTGTATAGCATATGATTTCTATGAAAAAACTAAGATTTTCTAGTCGCCCAAGTTCAAAAGTAACGTACCAGGGGCCACCGGGCTCTGCTAGAGCACACTAGGTCCGATAAATATAAAAAATTGTAAATTATTTTTTAAACTTAATAAATTGTTGTTGTTGTTGAGTATTCTTGAAGATTAGCCACATAGGACTTAGATAACTAAAATTTTGTTTTTTTTTTCTAATAGCAAAGGGAGGCTTTTCCTCCACTGGCAGCAAGTAACCCTGTCTCTTCTTCACCAAAGTGGGTAAAAGAGTCTCAGTCCAGATCAAACAAAGGCACCACAAAGCCAGTCACAAGATCAACAAGAAATAGTAGATCTGACACAAATTCTGTGGGGATAAAGGTGAGTAAAAAAACAGCATTGACTTAGATGACGGCTTGCAAGTCTTCGCAGCTGGCTAGCAAGACTAATCATTTTATAAAATAACATGAATATTTTACATGAATAAGTTGACTGCTCAAATAATTGAGTGCTTAGTAAACTTGCATTTTATAAGAACATAGACAGCTGTGAAAGGTTATAATGTCACTCTGCAATAAGGGACTTGATGTGGTTGCTTAAGTAAAGGCTATAAATGAAAAAAGTAACATAATTTGGAATAGCTGGGAAAAATGATTACTCACTTTCGGGGAATGTTTCATTTTATTTACATTTTTTCACCCCAAGAAAACCACTCATTAACACTGCGAACTGGACCCTCAACAGCACTCTTAACAAGTGAGACACCACTGTGGAGACAGATATAGATGTGACGTATGACAAATGGTGATTCAATGCAAGTCATCACCATATGCAAGCTGACTTCTTTAATTTGCATTAAAATGATCACTAATAGAGTTTCAGTAAGGTGCCTGAATGCCCTGTGAGAGTGGCCAGTGAGCATGGGAGGTAACCATAACAACCCTGTAAGTATGCAACCACCAGGCATGGTCACAAAACTTTTTTTGGTGTTAAAGTTAGTGACTTACCAGTAATTCCCTACATGGAGTGCATGGACTGGAAAAAATGGCTATTTCCTCAACAGGGGAAAGCGAAAAGCTTGCTGAGGGCTAACCTGAGATGAGGCTCTATTTTTGTTTTTCTTTGTAAATAACATTCCGGCAGGCAAGGCAAAACAAAAAGTGTGACCACTTAATAGAGAATGTATAAGAACTGCTAAAATTGGGCCTGATCCCAAGTTAGCTGAAGCCCTATGAAAGCCCCTAGACGAATCCTTAAAATTTAGAGAATGAGACCAATGGCCAGCATTGTCTTGAGTTGTAACATCGCCTAAATTGCATTTTACTCCCACTCAACTTGCATCTTACCTCGACCTGGTTCATTGTTTAAACAGAATGTGATAGAAATAACTTAACGTTACTTATCTCTCAAATTTATTTTAGGGAGATGTTTTGTCCTCAACAGATGGCGGTGATGTTATAATTATTGAGAATTTTCCTACCTCAATCACAGAAAAGGTTTGTTTAATAAATACAGGTAATACAGTTCTAACAAAGACAGTTCAATCATCAAAAGCTGAGCCTAAAGCCGTCGGTCTAAACTGCAGGTCTTTTTCCACAGGTCAGAGTTCAGGTATACAAGTAAATAAGCAGCATTAAAAGTGTCTCCCAGCCCTAATCTGTTGAGAAAATGTTCTTTTAGATCAACGGGAATCTGTGTGGTTTTTGTAACTTATCAATGGAGCAGTGACTTCTACTTTTGACCTGTGGAATGTGACCTGTACCTCAGACCTGCCTATTAGAAGCAATTTGGAAGCAAAATTCAAACTATTTCACAGTGCACCACAGTGTGGCACAGAACTTATCCAATATGTGACTCTCCAATTTCGAGATCGGTGTAGGGCGGCTTTGCTCCATTACAAACGTTGCACTGAAAACGCTATTTTTATGTGTGAACAGTGGCCTATCTGGTATGATTTTCATGTTGGCATAGAGTGGTTTTCGTTTGAGTGTCGTAAAACCAAAACCAAAGTAATTATTACTCTGGCCAATCACATAGGACATAGACAATACATTGAACCAATCAAAACTCGAAGTAATTACATGTGGCTGACGTAAAGCGCGGGAAAATGCATGCGAGCGCGTCACAATTGGCTTTGGTTTTACTTCTGATTGGATGAAAAGGTGGCGTGAATCTTTTAAGCCAATCGCATCGTGTAGAAAGTGCAAAACCAATTACTTTTCGATACTCAAATGAAAACCGCTCTAAGAGCTATGCGGTATTACAACAGTCATCCCAAGCGTAATTGCAGACCACGCTTATGCAAAATTCTGGGAGGCAAACAAGGTGTACTATGGGAGTTTTGCAAATGACAAATAAAAAAATAAGAGGCTACTCAGGGTCTATCTCAGTCTAATCGAATAGAGCGTTTTCAATAACGTGGCCAGCATCTATGCAAATCTATTGGAACAAAAGAAAGTGTTAACACTTGACAAGAGCAGAGTTCAACTCTTACATGATTGGCTTGCTAAACTTGCTAGACTTGCTACACCAACATGGCCACCGTTTCATAGTTTTGAAACACTAATATAGCTTTTTCTCTTTTTGCCACTTGCCCATACCTTAAAGTGACTCATTGACAGTATGTCCTGTTATTAAACTTTTTCCTTTAAGGACCTTGTTGATCTGTTCAAGCCCTATGGTGAGGTATTAGCATGTGTCATTGAAAGAGACAGCAATGGAGTCAGCCTAGGAACATCTCTTATCAGGTTTGCTTCATTCAGATTAATGTCGCCTTTATTAGGATGTCTTCAGCAGTATGAATATAGAGGCATTAAGATTTACTGGTTCCGGTGCACAGGTGGGGATTAATAACCTAGATCCGTAGACGTAGTCACGTGTAAGAAGCCTGCCTCTTACCCCGGACTGAAAAACGGTTGCCTAGGCTACCGGGTAGAGTTGTAAACCTACAAACGATAGAACGTTTTTGCCTGCGCGTTACAGTGGTACCCCGCCATAAGACCATCCCACTGATACTGTCAACTCTTTATTACGACTACTTTAATCTGGCCAGAGAAAAAACGTTAGTCCAGACGCAGCGGAGTGTTTTGAAACGTGGCGGGAGAGGGGGGGAGGGGGGGAGGGGTTTCTTTGTACGCTCAGCCAAATGTTCTTTGTGATGTTCGTTGCCTAAGCAAACCTCTTTGCTATCTTAATTGTAACCATTGTGTCTGTAATCAATTTGTGACAGTGGATAAGTAGGCAGCCGTTCAGACAATCTGGCTTCGTAGTGCTTCTTAGGTAGTTTGTGAGTCGTCAGAGGCCAGGAAATGTACTCAATTTTCATATTCCGTGGACCACTCCTATAGTAGTGTTTTGTAACAGAAATTTTATTGAAAAATGAGCTAGCGATAGGGAGGTGGGGGGCTGAGCCCCCACAAACTTTCTTTTGCAGGGGGCTGTACCTCCCCCCTGTTCTGCCGCCTGCAGTCATTGGCCGTTTTTAGGCCATAGACATTAAACTCATGTAGACTTTAACGTCTCAAGCATTAAAACGGCCATTTTCTTACTCTACAACCTTCTAAATACTATCACTCCGTTATTACGACCAACAACCACTTTTTAGAGTCCCCAGTATTCATTTTCGCCACACTCGTTAATACGACCAGTCAAATACCTGTTACAGGTAAGTGAAGTAATTAACAAGAAAAACAGTGAAGTTTTTTACTGAAGTAGTCTTACGTGCCTGAGCGAGTGTCTAAGTAAAGTGAGTCATATCATGACCGTTGATAGTCACAATAAAATTATATTTCCAATCATGTTTCTTGACAGTACCCCGCTAATACGACCAAGTCACTTTCATGGCCCAAACAGGTCCTATTAATAGGCTTCTAAATCCAAATTTGCGAAAACATGATCCCCTATAATATAAACATATAGGAAATCGGTTCCCCTACATACGTACAAATACAACACAAAACAATGCTGTACAATACTGAACAACAAGTTAATTAATGTTTCCTAGCTTAGATTTTGTTTATAATTTACAAAAGACACGAAACGAAACAACCAGTTACAGTAACAAATCAACTAAGAAACTACCGTTGAAGTATCTAAAATTGAATCAAAATTGAATTGAATCTGTCTTCGCCCAAATCCCAGAGTTATGTCACCACAGCCAGGCTGTTCAAAGGATTAGTTCGAAAATGGAATTCAGACATGTCAGTTGATTCGATACTCTAAAAGAACCGAGAAATTATCCGAGAAAACGCTTTTGAACAAAAGAAAAAGAAACCCGCAGTAAAATTTAACCCCGGGTTAGCGCTAATCGGTCTTTGAACAACCGAGCCCAGAGATCTAAATGTATGTGGGTTCAAGTTCAAGTTCATTTATTCACTCTTATTCAATTACAATACAACAACAATAAGAAAAAAAAGGAGTAAAAACAGAGCTTACTATACATTGAATTAAACATAACAAAGGAAAAAGTGTATAGCAGCCAAAGGAGCCAAGCTTTCGAGTTGGCTACTACCACAGAGTGGTTAAAAGTGGGTGGAGGTTATAAAAACATGGAAAAGGAACAGGCGTGCAAAGTAACGCGACTGCATAGCCGTGCGTGCAGGACAACAGCTTGGAATTTATTTCCGGCGAGATAACTATTTGGGCGACTTGACCGTAAAGCGTCTCCTATATGGTATTAATGTACCTGTCCATTCTTTAGAACAAGTTCTTATTTTCAGTAATTGGAAGAGAAGGTCACTGAAGTGAAACTGATCATCTTAAAAAAGAGAACCTCTCACTATGCGCTCGGTCATTATTTTTAAGATGGCCTCTGAAGTTCATGCATTATTCTGTATGTAGATAGAGTTTTAATTGAACCAAGCGACCAAGTTTTTAGTGTGGTGAAGGCTATCTAAATATTTTATCGTGTCTTTTTTTACTGTCTAATTTAGAATGGAAAACAGAACTGCGTGTGAGTGGATAATTAACACTTTCTCCGGCGAGGAGTACCCTGGTAAGTCCATTCTAATCTCGTACCCCTCCCTACTCAGAATACAAGCTATCGTTCTTTTATTCTCGGAGCAGTAAGCCCAAGAGCTATTGTATGATTTGCGCTACTTGCGGACATATGTGAAAAAAGAATGATCAACTTTACAGAATAAGTTTGCGCAGAAAGACAGTAATTTTGAACATTGAATAAGTCAATTTTTATTGCCATCACAATCAAGCGTTACTTATGCAAATACTCCTTAAAAAATGACCGCTTTGAAATCGGTCGGTTTTTTTCTGCCCCACAATCTTAGTGGACTCTCTTTGAAGTATACCAATGCATATTTTGGAAATCTCTCGCTGACTGGCTCTTTATTTTAGGAGCAAGTGAACCCATGGTGTGCCGATTTCTTGTAGAAGACGAAGAACATTCATGAACCCATTGAAGCCAAATCCGAAACGTTCAGCATTTCTTTTCGTTCAAACTCTTCTCCTTGTCTGAGAAAACGAAACAGCCTCCCCGTAATTGGAACAAAGGCTGTTCTCAGTTTAAATTGCCTGTCAGTATTTGCATCTTTAAGTGATGTGCGTTCTTAACTTCTTTCATATAAGTGAATTGTTTGTGTTAGTTAAGTGGCTTCATAGGCGTTAAGGTCAGTTTTGTAGGTATTGGTGGATCAGCGGTGGATTACCTGTATTTATTGCTCAGTATTTAGCTTGCCTTAGCTTGCCTTAGCTTGCTCAAACAACGTTGTTGTTGTTGTTGTTGTTGTTTCCTTTAAGTTGGTTGTCTTACATCAGAGGTTTTACACTGATCTGTGTCTAGGACAAACTTTCTTGCTTGTTTTTGTTAACTAATATTTTTTCTTTTGAAGTGTTTTCCATAACTTTCCATCTCATGAGTCCTTTCCTTTTCTGAAGGTGTTACTGCCAATGCGGTACCTTCGTATGTTGTTCTCGTTATTTATTTATATAAAATATAAAGTATATAATTTGATATAAAACAAATAAATTTGTATGAAGCATATTGTTGTAAAGATAATGAGATAAATGAGAAAATAAAAAATGTATTCATTGTCAATATTCAAGTAAGATATACTGTTAACAGAACGGTTTGACTTAATTTAACCAGCTTCTCCTCTGAGACCAGGATATCTTCCATTCATTTTCTACGTGAACAACATTCAACTTGCTGATCCTCCATCTTGATGTACGCTGACAGCACAATTGTCTTTACATCGGGTCTAACCACCAACTACATTGAAGATGTGCATGCTCAATTCTGAATTTGAAAACATAATATACTGGCTTCGGTCCAACCAGCTGATAATTCATCCCAATAAAACAGAATGAATGCCTTTTGGACCTCACCTATGGTTAGCTCAAGCTGAAGTCAGCCCTGAAATTTTCAGTCCTGGTATCTCCCTTCAAACAATAGGTGAAGACTTTGTTACTAACGTTATTAAACGTATAAAACCCAACAAAGCTACCGGACCAGATAAAACCAGGGCCCGCCTGCTCAAGGACTCTGTACACCCCATTGCCCCCTCCTTGACTATGTTGTTCAACCTAGCGCTACAGACAGGAAGTTTTCCTTCTACTCAGAGAAACGCAAGGGTTATACCCTGCATAAGAAAGGTGGTAGACAAAACCCATCAAACTATAGCGGGCCAATCTCAATTTTGCCCATTTTAAGCAAGATCATTGAAAGAGCCGTCCACACCCAATTTCATGGATACCTGACAGAGAATAATTTAATCTCCTCAACATAGTTTGTTTTTAGACCGAAATTGTTCACTGTTACAACTTCTGCTCAGTTTATTAATCAGTTACTACCAGGGATTGACAGCAGCTCAACCACAGGAGTAGTGTTTTCGGATTTGACCAAGGCTTCCGACACAGTGAATCACTCCATTCTGTATCGCAAGCTTACTAGCTTTAGAGTGGATGACAATGCCCGGAACTGGTTTGACTCCTTCTTATCCAACAGAAGCCAAGTTACCTGTTGTGGAAATGCCCAGTCTGACAAAGTAGCGGCATCTGTCGGAGTTACACAGGGCTTTATCCTAGGCCCACTAATGTTAATAATATAGATGAACGATTTACCCAATATCCTTGATTTCTGTAACATTACCATGTCTGCTGATGGCACTGTTCTATATTTCTTCTGGAAACGTATTTCAGAAATTGAACTGATCAAAGTTGAACTCGGACCTCAGACACGTTTGCGATTGGATGAAACTTAATCAACTAACTCTTTGTCTCGCGCTTCGCGCAAAATGCCGCGTTCACCTCGCTTTGCTCATAAAGCGCCTGTTATGCACGCTAATAATATTATTAATGTTTCAAAACAGGTTCGAGTTTCATTTATTTACAGCTATTTCGAGAAAGGTTTTCGGAAAAAATGTGCACGCGACAATCCCGAAAGGTAACATGGGATATGATCAATACATTGTTCCTGACGATTGTAACTGTAATTTATTTGTGGTGCTTTCCTTTAGCACTCGCAAACATATGTCCATGGCCTCAAGTGCCATTCTTTCAAATTTCTTTGCAGAAAAGTGAAAACATAAACCCACCCACAATGCCTTTTGGGATTGTCGCGTGCACTTCTTCCGACAACCTTTCTCGAAAGCTGTATATATGTTATAATTCACAAAGGTTACCCATCACTGTGAATGTGCAAAAAAAACAATAATAAAAATGATAATAAATAAATAATAAAATAAGCTGATGTATAAAAGCAATGAGGGAGATAAACAGCAGATTTAAATGCGTCTATGGAAGGCTGATCTAATAAAAAGAAGGTAAAGTGTTCCATTCTTTTAGAGTTCTGGTAAAAAAAATTGTACTTAAAGGTATTGCTGTTACTACCAATGTTTATAAACTTGCTGCCATGGTAAGAGCGTGTAACACGGGTTGGGCGTGCAACGTGTACTCCGGAATATTGACCGTGATTTTATTGTTCACCATTTTGTACACGGTAGTAAGTCGTGGTATTTTGCGTCTCAGTTTTAGTGAATGCCAATTCAAATCGTTCAGGAGATTAGTGACTGTACCGGGTTTCCGCTCGTAGCAGTAGTCTATCACCAATATAGTCTTTTAGGAGTGATTGTTGTATTCTGTAATTTGACTTACTGAATTATGATGTAATCTGTATCGCTTCGCTAGCTTAGGCTTAAATACGAGTGCTTTGTATACATCTTAGTTGCATCGTACATCTAAGACAAGGGCTGTGTTCTGGTTGTACTCAAGGTACGATCTTCAATTAAACTTCTACGTTGCAATCAAGTTCTCTCTATAATTATTGTCTAAATTAGGGTATTCAACAGGGGTAACAGATTCCGTGCCTTCTCACAGCCAGCGAGTGTCCCGAGGAAAAATCCTTTCTCAGAGAGTTTTAGAGTTTTCTCCGTCCGTCAGTTTATCCTTTCGTGAAGGCAAAAACCTGTTTTCACTTGAGAAAGTGAAGATCGTTGACTCCGAATCCCGGGGGTGGGACTCCGCAAACAAAAGGGGTGGGGATGCTCGTCGTCTCGCTTAGGGGTGTAAATTTCGGATTTTGGTCTCACTTAGAGTGTTCTGGGCATCATACCCATCATATTTAGCCGTGAAGGTCTCGTTTAGGGTTGCACGCGAAAAAATATAAAAATATGTGTATTGTCTGTGTTTTAACTCGGTCTCTTTTAGGGGTCGAAAAAAAAGCTTGGGCTACGCCCGGATCGGTCTCTTTTAGGGGTTTAATTCAAAATTTCCGACGAGCATCCCCACCCCTTTCATATGTAGTGTCCCCCCCACCGGGCTCCGAATTAATACAGAGTTTAAAGCAAAGATCCTTTTACAAATTCCTAGCAGTTATGGAAAATATCAAACAAGAAGATCACCTTGTGCTGAAGGGCGCAGCAAAAGTTCTCCTACAGAGAATGTCAGTTACCGGGACCAGCCCTCTATCTGACAATAATAAAAAGTTAATAAAAAGACAGAGAAGTAAGAAAGGTGATCGTCGACGTCCAGAGCAGAGGCAAGCACCACTTAGGATCAACAGTGCTGAGCTGTACCTTCCTAGGAAACTCGGAGGAAGAGGCCTTAAGTCAGTGGAAAAAGAATATAAATTGACCAAGATCAAGGTGGTGGTCAAGCTGTACAGTAATCCAGACCCCGTTATGCCGGTGGTTAGAAGGTATGAAGAGAACACAGAGGAAAATGGTCGACGGGTTTAATTAAAGGTGCCAAGAAATAAGCCCATGAACTGGTTTTGGAACTTAACTAAGCTCCCCTCATCCCGTTGCTAAAACAGATGACAACAGAGAGGCGGATGGAGCGTTAAATGGGAAACGTGCTAAGGACTGAAGAATTAAAGAAAAAGCGAGCGGAAAAAGTCAATAGGGAAAGAAAAGATAGTGGCAACAAGACGGAATGAAAACAACTTGGAAAGTGACTGTTTTGCGTGTCTAGCAGCCTGAAGATCAGCACTGTCTAGTACCATCGCGGGCGCACAGGTATTGTACCAGCAGCTCCTTCCAACGACGGTGTGTCACCAGAGAAGAACGGGATTAAATCCATCATCTGATGTCAGATGCAGAATGTGTGGAAAATCGCAAGAACCAGTCGCACCCGCTTGCTAGCTGCTCAGCTTTGGCGCAGACCAAATACCTTGCTCGACACAATCCGGTGCTAAAGAACCTTTTCTTCGAGCTGCTGAAAAAAACTGGGTCTGATCGACACCACCCCCCTTGATTTTCGCTTTCCGAACCAACAGAAACCAGTGTACGAAAACCAGCGCGCTAAAGCTTATTGGGATGTGCCAAAGTTTATGCTGAGAACTCTGAAGTCAGAGCAAACAGAAATTAGATACGAGAATAATTAACTTACATAAGGAAGATAAGACAATCACTACTAGAAATGAGCTGTCCGTGGACTGAAAACAGAGAAGCAAAGGAGTCGGAGAAGACCATGAAATATGCGCCCCTTCGCTTTGAACTCAAGAGGTCGAGGTTATAAAGAGAACCAACAAAATGTCATTGCAGTGCTGTATTGGGAAGTGCTTCTATGAACACGTCCAAGAGTATAAAGTCACTGCTCGGCGAAAGAAAAGGAAAATAGATTTTGAGAAAAATGCGGAAAAGTGTTTTGTCACACTCACACTTTTTTTTTAAGTCACCAAAAGACCTGAACGTTATAATTATCTTATAAGGCGTCGCGCAATTTCTAGCAACATTTTGGTATGACCAAATGTTGTATAAGACAGGAATGTGAGTTGATGAAATGACCATACTCTTTATTCTGATAACAGATAATTTTCCGTACAAGACTGACTCCGAAAACTTGAGATCCTCTCCGAGATACTGTAAACCGTTCCGAACTAGATAAGGGAAAAACACTGAATGATCCGATCCGTGTTCTCGAGCTACGGCCAGTCCTATCTTGTTTACAACAC